ATCTCTTGGCTGGCAGTTAATTTGCATATCGCCCTGTTTAGCCAATGGGAAGGGTAGCGGTAGTACACCAATTACCATGTTTCTCTTTTATTAGATAGGATAAGTTTAGTTAGCATAAGTAGACCATTTTGTATTAGACCAAAACTTGTAAACAACTCCAAAATAAGAGGTGTTTGTATGGTTGATAAGCTTTGGACATGTACACAACTTTCCTGCCTGAGTGTATACCTAGAAAACAGGGCAGCACCCCTGTGTGGCGCCCTATAGGAGACACTGAAGATGCCCAGCTTCAAGGATTTAAGGAGAGCAAATCTGCGGTTCAGACGCCTGTCTGACCTCCACAGACAAGACATCCCCGCCCCCCGCCCCCGGAAACTGCCAAACTGCCAAACTGCCATAACCTCCATGTGTCTCTGTCAGCGAGTGTCTCCGGGTGGCCTGCCAAGGACTGAAACCCATCAGCTCTCTGGTAAATAAACCTTTGTGATTTCTTGCATTGTTTGTTCCCTATGTCTTCTCTCTTCTTAGTTTTTGGTTAAGCTTGGCCATATTAATTAATAGTAAGTACCCTTTGACGTCTGAATTGGTCCAAATGAGGTGCTTGGGTCACCTGCGCGTAAGTTCCCAGGAAGTGGAACAAAGGATAAATAGGCTGAGCATAGATGATTTCTATGGCAGTGAAACTACTCTGTATGATACTATAATGATAGATACATGTCGTTATAGGTTTGTCCAAGCCCATAGAATGTACACACCAAGAATGAACCCTAAGGTAAACTATGGACTTTCAGTGATTATGATGTGTCAAAAACTTCTGGTTCAGGTTTTCCTAATGGAGCAAGGCTATAAGAGAAATGTTTGTACCTTGTCAATTTTGCTGTGAACCTAAAATTGCTCTAACAAACTAAAGTCTTTAAAAAAAAAGACATTGATCTTGCTATCAAAGATCTTAGAGTCTAGGGAGCAGACAGCTAAACAAACAGAAGTAATGCTGTGTGGTCTTTGCTCTAAGGGTGGTATTTTAATGTTGTAGGATCACTGGGAAGAGCCCTAAGTTTCCCTGTAATTTATATGTCTCCTGAAAGGCTCTGGATTGTTAAAGCTGCTGTGGGAAGAGCCGTGCCCTGGGAGGCTGAAAAAGTTTATGTTTTAGTCCTGGCTGGGACTCTCACTTGCCACAAACTTTTCTGATAAATTACATTACCTCCTTGATCTCAGTTTACTTATCTCTGAATTGATACTATTGTTCTCAATAATCTGTGAGGGCCTTTCTAGTGTCACCATGAAATTGACAATTTCTGTTTCAATGCAAAGTTCTTTTTTTTATTGTTGTAGAAATAGATAACATTTACCATTTTAGCTATTTTTAAGTGTACAGTTCAGTGGCATTACATACATTCACATTGTTGTGCAATCATACCACCATACATCTCCAGAAAGATTTCATCTTCCCAAACTCCCATTAAACAGTAATTCCCCATTCCCTAACCATCATTTTCTGTCTCTAGGAATTTCACTATTCCAGATATCATATATAAGCAGAGTCATATAGTATTTATCATTTGTTACTGGTTTATTTCACTTTGCATAATGTCTTCAAGGTTCATAGATGTATCGTGTGTCAGAATTTTCTTTCTTCTGAAGGCTGAATAATATTCCTTTGTATGTATATTGCATTGATCTACTGAAGTGTCTGTTTCTGACTCCACCAACTGAACAATGGGGAAGAGATCCTGGCAGAGCAAACTTGCCCCTTTTCTTCTCTCTGTTTCTGGGACAGGGAGGTCAGACCTAGGTGTTCACAGGGCCCTGCTGAAAAGTTTATATTTATCATTTAATTCTGTCACAAGATGTCTTTAGCGCCTGCCAATGGATATCATCTTTGGTTCTTCTTGTTTCTTGAGCAGAAGTCTATCTTTTTCCCACAAGAGTGAGAACATACTCCATCATCCAGGTGTCATGGACAGGGGAAACCAAGATAATGAAGGCACATTGCTTTTTTTCTTAGTCATTTCAAGCTCCTGGGACAAAATACCATAGAATTAGTGAAATAAGCAATAGACACCTATTTCTAACAGTTTTGGAACCAGCATAGTCAGGTTCTGGTGAGGGTCTTTTTTCCGGGTTGCCTCACGTGTTCTCACATAGTGGAAAGAGAAGGATAGAGAACTCTCTAGGGTTTCTTTTATAAAGGCACTAATCCTATTCATGAGAGCTCTACCATCATGACCTTATCACCATCCATCACATTGGGCATTACTATTTCAACATGTGAACTTAGAGGAGATAAACATTTAGTGTATAATACCTCCCTTACCAGCAGCAAAATAAAAGGCCAGGAGTAAAGAGAATAATGTGCTCAGGGTGTTTAGAACCTGAATACTCCATTCATATGGTTTATCAGAGACCAGAAAATCAAGTATGGCAAATGTGGTCTTAATTATAGCCATGTGAAATTGCTCAGAAACATGGTTGTGAAAAATTAGATTGTTGGAAGGAGAAAATAAAAGCCAGTTTGTTCAAATAACATTTTACGCCTTACTCAAATGTAGACTAGAGACACATAGGTGATCATTGGCTAAAAGCTGTTGGAAACCAGACTAGGTATATATTGACTTTGAACTTATTTGCCAAACCTATAATAAAATAATATTGTTTCATTTTCAAAGTGCCTCAGCTATGAGACTCTCTTAGAGGTTTACAACTGCTTAAATCCCTGCTCTGCTTGAAAACTTTCTGGAAGTATAGAGTGAAAGGTAGAATTGTGGTCTGGGCACAGTTCGCTGCTAGGCTAAAAGAATTTCATATTAAGAATAAAGAGCACCATTGCTACAAAGCTCCAACCCTAATTGAAATAGACTGGTAACATAGAATCTTATATGAATACACTGTCAATGTATAAAGCCTAAAATAAATCAGGTTGGTTGAACAGAAAACAGATGGCAAAACTTTTGCCCTCACATCTTGAAGCCCACTTTTGTGGGTAAGCGCCCCAGGAATAGTGTGGTGGTTAGGTGTGCAGGCTCTGGTTTACATGCTGATTCAGCCTTTCCTAGATGTGTAGCTTTGGGCAAGCTAGAGAAATTCTCTGAGGTTCAGTTTTCTGCAAGATTGAAATAATAATATATTATACAGTATACTAGAAGCCCAGTGCATGAAAGTAATGCAGGGGAGAGGGGGTCCCCTCAGCCAGCCTGCACCCTCTACAATCCAGGACCCCTTCAGGGATGTCCGACTGCTGATTTAGGCACCCTCTCACAATCCTGGGCCTCTGGCTCCTAATCGCTCACCTGCCTGGTCACCCCTCACTGCCCCCTCTGCCAGCTTAATTGCCCTCAACTATCCCCCTACCAGCCTGATTGCCCCCAACTGCACCCCCCCGACTGGTCTGGTCGCCTCTTACTGCCCCCCCTTCCCACTGACCTGGTAGCCCCATGCAGTCTGCTGCTCAGCCGTTTGGTCGTCCCTCACTAACCCCCCTGCTGGCCTGGTCATAGGCAGCCATCTTGTGAGGGTGTGAGGGTTAATATGCATATTACCTCTTTATTATATAGGATGAGAGTTTAATTATTATAAGATGCTCTACAAATTTAACATCAGCAAATTACTGTATTGCTCACTCCATAGCTCAGCATGGAAAAGCCCTCAGTGATGGTGAATTTATTAAGGAAACATTTCTAAGATGTGCACCAGCTCAATTTCACGATATGAAAAAATAAAGATGATATTATTAAAAGAATTTCTGAGTTACCACGCAGTAGAAATACTATCAAAGACAGACTAATAGATCTTAACAAACACGTACAACATCAATTTAAAAAGACTTAAATAGTTGTAAATATTTTTTTGATTTCTCTTGATGAAACTACTGACGTCACATCAAATGCTCGGTTGGCCATTATTTCTAGATATTCTGATAGTCTCACAATGAGAGAAGAGTTGATAAAGTTAGAATCAGTGCCAATAAGTACCGTATTTGCCGGCGTATAAGACGACTGGGCGTATAAGACGACCCCCTAACATTTCCACTCAAAATACAGAGTTTGTTATATACTCGCCGTATAAGACTACGCCCTCTTCCGCACACCTTCCACACACCAAATAAAAGGTAAAACAATATCAGATTTGATTTTAACATTTTAATTTATATTCAAATGCTTATGACATGCAGGAAAACTGTCACAAGGCTGTATGTAATCAAACATATACATAAAACAGTGCAAGTTTATTACCGGTAAACATACCGGTAATTCACTAAAGAAAACACACTCTATAGACTGGTACCGTAGATGCTTCTCAGGAACACAGGCAAGCAGCCCACAACCTAGAGGGACTGTCAATGATAGAAGAAAGAT